GGAGAGAATGGGCTTAACCTCAAAATAGTTTCTACTAAATAATTTCAACTGCTATGCCAATCAAGCACGTGCCACTCAAGACTCTGATCCTCATCAGTCTCAGCTGTCTGCAAAAATGTGGTATGGACTCCAGCTCCCAAATCTTTGGTGGTTCCCTCTCCCAGCCTTTCAAAGTTCACAAGGTTGCAGCCTTCTCTGAAACTGCTTCACCCAAGAGCAAGAAAGTATAAAAGTGGCAAAGAATAAGAGCCCCATGAACCCAGGTGGGGAGCTAGGTAGCTGGCAGGAGGTCACTGACCCTATTGCTATGCCCCCTCTTGGAAATAGCAGGACCATGCACTTGTAGCTTCATGGGAGCTTTGGATCAGTGATGAACTGAGGTCCCTCTCTCATCTAGAGGAGGGTCTTTGTGGCTCATCCTCCTTGTTCACCACCAAGACAAGGAAAAGGTCTGTGCTGCCCATTAACAGTCTTTTGTATGCACTCTCATATCCACCTCAGTAGCATATCAAAATCATCTCTTCACTCTGTGGTTAATAGATCAGAAATAGAATACCTGAGCATGCTCCAAAGTCATGTGGGAAATTAGCTCATGCTGAGCATGCCAGACATGCTCAAAAGCACTGGGCTCTCACTGGCCTATTCCCATTACAAAAACATCAGTGTCCTTGCATCTCAAGAGATGTGAATTGAAATCCATCTCCTTCCAAGTGCTGTGACATATATGTTCCTTCTATATGTGTTCTCCATGTGTATTCAATCTTCCTACTGAGGCTGTGTGTATCTGTTGGAGTGTGCCCCAGGTTTCTGGGCAATATTATATTTTGTTGCTCCTTTTGTTATAAGCCATTTCATTAAATACCTTTGCTTTGAACTAATTTTCTCATCTCACTGACTATTAAAGGTAAACTTACGGTGGTGGTGGTAGTGGGGTCATGAGCTATAATCCTAGGGGTGCAAACCCACCAAGTCCCAGAAATGTGGGCTAGCCATTTGCTGTGAGTTGGCAGGTGCTGTCATGCTTTGCATCAGCTTTTATTGTTGTTAGCTTTAGGTCATCCAGAGAGAAACAAATTCAAGGCTGATTTCATTTTTTAGTAAATTATACACACACACACATATATGTATATGTGTATGTACACATATATATGCACATACTATGTAAAATATATATTGTAAGGATCACAAAAAGAATTCAGACCCATGTAAATGAGCAAGTCCATTAGTAAGATGGTAAATAGGAGCTACCTAATGTAGAAGATAGCTTTCCTTAGAGCAGGACAATCCATGCAGTTGATTTAGAAATATTTTGAATTAAAAGCAGTGAATTAAAAAACAAGTTAAAGAAATAGTCTCATAGCTTTTGGGGAACTCAATGAAATATTTTGAAGATGAACTTTAATGATTTTTTTGTATCACTTTAAGTTTTGTTTCCTTATTTTTAAATAAAAAACTTAATCACCCCTAAAATCATTTTTTTAAATTCAATAAAAGTGTTTATTTTATTTGGAATACTACTGTGCTGTAAGAAATGATGAGCTCAATGATTTTAGAAAAACATGGAAAGACTTGCATGAAATAATGAACAGTAAAATGAGCAGAACCAAGAGAACATTGTATATAATAACAGCAATATTGTTTTAAGAACAACTTTGAGCAAATGTTACTTTGTGTAATGTAAACACACAAATTAACTGTAAAGGGCATATAAAGAAAGATGCTATCTGCAACCAGAAAAAGAACTGATAAATAGAAGTATGTATGGAATAATTTTACATACATATACATATTTGTGTATAATGGTTTTCATCTCTGGGGTGGGGGGGTGGGAGGGAAGAAAAAAGAAGAAAAAGAAAGAAATTTACATGATAATTTCATTGTATATTTGAAAGGAATAGGAGGTTGTACATAGTAGATTGGCAGTTTTATATGCAATCATCTTTTTATTGTATTATGTTATGGAAATGCTTGTTTTATTCCATAAATTACAAATAAAAGCTCCCAATGCCTTTAAAGTCTTCTCTGTACTTTCCAAGTCCATTTTCTAGACAGGTTCCATTCTTTGTCCTTCACTTCTCCCTGTCTGTGAATGGACATCTTCCCTCAGTCTCTCACCAAAGGGAATTTGGATTTTGGTACCTGCTCTGCTCCCACCTGCAAGACTTTGGGCAAATAAATCTCTTTCCAACCCTGAGTTTCAGCTTCTTCTTCTGTAAAAATCAGGGGTTGTACTAGATAACTCCAAGGTTCCTTCTAGCTCTAATATTTGGAGTTTTCCTGACTATGCCTCAGTTCAGAGGCAGCACTTCCTGGCCAGCTAGGGCTAGGAGGAAAGTAGCTGAGCTTTGGTGGGCAAGGGAGCATTGGAAGGGACACCCAGCCTTGGGCCAGTAGCTCAGCAGATGTGGTGGGAGAGGTGAACAAAAGAGAGATCTTTGTCCACTTCAGACCTACCTGACTGCTGGCCTAGAGCAATAGGAAGGGATTCTGTGGTCAGTAAACTCCCCTCAGGGGTTATTCTGTCAGCCAATGGCAGATTCTGGGCCTATTCCCTGAAGGGACCAGATCTTCCATTCACAAAGGAAAGAGGGTAGGGTTGGAAAGAGATAAAAGCTGGGATGTCCCAGAGTTTTTGTGCTGATGGAACTAAATGGCCTTTGGTACCATTTACCGTTCACTTTTCAGAGGTTTCAGGGTCTCATTTTTATGTAAGAAGGCAAAGCTGGACGCATCAGGAGTGATTCCCGTTTGGCTCTGAGATTCAGCAGGGCCAGCTTTACACATAAGGAAAGAGGTGTTCTGTCAGAATCTATAATTTCAGGAGCTGTGGAACTTCCCCACCCCTACAAGTTCTTCTCCTTGTTGGCTTATCCCTGAATTCCCTTTAATAAAGAATAAAGTCTCCATTCAGTCCTCCATACAACTGTCTAATTGCTATTCCTAACACACAGATCTGACCATGTTATACCTGCACTCAAACATCTTTAGTGGCTCCCTATTACCTCTAACAAACTCCTCTATTTTACAGGTAAGGAGACTCTGAGAGGTTAAGATACTTGCCTTGTATCACATAGCTAATAAGTGCCTGCTCTAGGATTTGAACCTCCATCTCCCATCTGATAAGGTAGTATGCATTAGTGGGTTAACCATACTGGGCATTTTGATTTTGAAAGATGATAATTCTCACCTAACAAAATGAATCAATTGTCATTGATGGAACAGAGGCACCCAGTGATGGAACAGAGGATCACAGAGCAAGAAGGATTCTGAGAGATTATCTAGCCCAAGTTACAGATGAGGAAACTGAGACTTAGGCGGAAAGATTGACCTGTTTAAGGTCCTGCAGGATTAGAGCCAAAGTCTCCTAACTACAATCTCAGTGTGCTTCCTATTATGCATAATGGCCTCAGTCCATGAAACATCCATAGTTGACTGCCAACCATACTTACAGTCTCTACCCTGCCCTTCCTCTGTCCAGATCCATAATGCCAATAGTAATGACTCACCCTAAATTTCCTCTATTTACTTAAACTTTATTGTTTCTGTGGCTGTTCCAGGTAAACATGAGAGAAAGAAAAGTGGCAAAAGATGAAGAAAACCCCTATGGTAAGGAATATTTTTGAAAGGGCACCGATGCCCACTTTCTGCTAGAATTTTAGGTGGCAGAAAACTTCTAGGCTTGGTACTATGCTCCCCCCTCCTAGCTCAAGATGTCAAGGCTAACAGGAAATACCTACTGCTTTGTAGAGGAAGAGTTGCTCTGGTCAGCGTGTTCTCTGCTAGCTCAGATGTTTGAGAGATATTCAAGGTTAGTAACATGACCACCATCTAAACTAGTACTAGCAGTAAGTAGCAAGGTTTAGCCTTTTAGGGTTTGCAAAACACTTTACCCGCATTATCTTATTTGATCCTTGTGACAATCTTGTAATATAGGTATTATTGTTACCTCCCCTTTTACAAGTAAGGAACTTGATGCTGAGATTCTTTAAAGGAATTGCCCAGGTCATAGACATAGTCAGTCCCTGAGGAAAGATTCAAACTCAGGTCTTCCTGACTCCACAGAGAGCACATTGTGTCACTCAGCTGCCTCTGTCATGTATTACCACTTTTTGTGGACTAACAGTAAAGCCGTATTTAATGGAAATTTACAACGAAGCTAATGATCAGGGTATGTACCTATGGACTCAAAGAAAGTAAGAGCTGGAGGAGACCCCAGAGATAACTTAGGACAGGTAAATTCACTTGACAGATAAGGACACCAAAGCTCAGAGAGGAGGAGAGATTCCTTATTGGAGGCTATACATGGTATTAGTGGCAGAACTAGGTCTAGAGCCCAGAACGCAGCATGGAGCCTTGTTGAAGGGGGCAAGCCTGAGTGGCCAGGGCAATTCTGGGTCTCTGGCTGAGGGCACTGAGAAGGAGGCAGAGCAGTCAGTTCTGAGGGCTAGTTCTCACAATGCGTATTCTTTTGTTAATTTTTTCTTTCTTCCTTTTTGTTAAATGGGAAAACTAAGCCCCAGTGAGTACCCGGATCATCCTGAAAAGGTTGATTTGATTTGTGAATAATATTTGCTCCCTACAGATTCAGGAGAGGAGAGACAGCTCCTACAACAGACCAAGCTGAGGCTAATCCTAGTGGGGAAAACAGGAACCGGGAGAAGTGCAACAGGGAACAGCATCCTCGGGGAGAATGTATTTGTGTCCCAGCTTTCGGGGGCGCCAGTGACGAAGATCTGCAGCAAAGGGAGCCGGAGGTGGGGTGGAGAGGAAATTGAGATCATTGACACTCCTGATATCTTTAGCCTAGAAGTGTCTACTGAAGGTCTAATTTCTCAAGAAGTCTTTCGATGTTATCTCCTCTCCTCTCCGGGGCCCCACGCGCTGATCATGGTGATCCAGCTAGGTCGCCACACTGAAGAGGACCAGGAAGCCATGAAGAAAGTGAAGGAGATCTTTGGGAATAATGTTGTGAAGCACACAGTCATCCTTTTTACCCGCAAGGAAGATCTTGGAGGGGGGTCCATAAAGGATTACGTCAAGTTTACAGATAACCAGGCCCTGAAAGATCTGGTTACACAATGTGGGGACCGGGTCTGTGCCTTCAGCAACCGGGCCACAGGGAGGGAGCAGGAAGAGCAAGTGAAGGAGCTGATGGATATAGTGGAGAGCCTGGTACAGAAGAATAGGGGTGAGCATTACACCAATGAGGTGTACAGCCTAGTGGAAGAGCTCCAATGGGCCAATGCAGAGGAGAAGTTCAGAAAAATTGGGGAGAAGGTGGCTAAGTTTAAGGAAAAGAATAAGAGGTCCCCGGAGTTAGGGGCAAAGTTCTTCCTGAGGTTCAGAGGTTTGTGTAAATCAAGAATCAAGAAAATCTCAAGCATTGCCATCTTTGGCATCTTCATCCTGTGGCTAGTGACCCCCAGCAGGCTTTATAATGCCTGGTTGGGCATCAGGAGTCTTTTTAGTGGCTGGTTGGGCATCACTAGTCATGAATAGCTGCTGGTTTCTACCATCTTTATTAGTCATCAGGGGAAATTTGTCAAGAACAATGCCTTCAGAATTTCATCACTTCTTGGCTATCTATTACCCTTTTGTAAACCTATCTACAGCATAGCCTGAAAAGTCTAGCTTATGTCTCTTCTCCTTCAAGAAACCTTGCCAGCCAATGCCAGCTCTCATGGTGAAGGAAGCTTAGAGCATTTAAAATAGCAGTGGATTTGTAGTCAGATGACCTAGGTTCAAAATCTAGTTCTGCCTCTTACGGTCTATCTAAATTTGGATACAACCATTTAATTTCTATTGTTCTCAGTTTCCTCATCTATCTAATGGGGGTGGGCAGGCTGGAGGATTTTTAAGGTCCCTCCTAGCTCTAAATCTATGAAATCTCTTCCCTGACTTCCTTTCATACATGGATCTAGCTTCTGGAGCTTGCTTCATACCTCCTGGTTCCATAGCTCTTTGAGGTTCAAAATCCTCCATTAGTCTCTGCAAGTGCTGCCTTTACCTACAGCTACAATTGCTCACATTCATACAGTATGCCAAGGTTTCCTCACAACTCTGTGAGACAGGGAGTGTAAGTATATAATCCATATTTTTTTAGATGAGGAAAAGACTTAGAGAAGTCAACCTGCTCCCAGTAACACAGATGCAAACGCTGGAGCTAGATCTTCCAACTTCAGATGTGGAGTGTTCTTTCTGTTTCCCTAAGCTGCTTCTCTTCTATTTTCTTTTCTTTTCTTTTTTTTTTTTCAAGGCAATTGGAGTGAAGTGACTTGCCCAGGGTCACACAGGTAGTAAGTGTCAAATGTTTGGTCTGAGGCCAGATTTGGACTCAGGTCCTCCTGACTCCAGGGCAGGTGCTCTATCCACTGTGCCACGTAGCTGTCCCATTCTCTTCTATTTTCCCACAGGCCTCAGGGCAGGTTAAGCATGTAGGAGATAGGCAATAAACACTGGTTGGATTGAAAAGAAAACTATCATTTCTATCAAGGAATATACTATGCAATTTAAAGTCTCTTTGATGATTATTATTAAAAAAATTGATGATTGTGGGCATAAATCCAATGTATTTTATATTCACTGAGAGTGATTTACTGCATCTAGCTTTGTAAACTCTGAGGATTCTTATCCTGACTCCCACTTCCACTTATGAGTTGTGTCTCTACAGGAGAGGGTAGCTGTGTCTTTTCCTTGGGGGAGAGGTCTCAACGCTGAGGGATTGAAGGAGTGTCTTTCTCTAATGTTATTGGCTCAAGCTCCCATTCTGGTGTATATTGCCTACTATTAATTGTCAGTTATAGTTATTATCTCTTTTATATTATCAATGCCCTTTAGTGATTAGTGCTTTAGTATCATTTAACAAATTAATAGCAGTTAGCTTTTATGAAGATTTACTGAGAAGATATATCACAGGCAGAAGTTACAAAGCCTTTCTTCCCAATAACTGGAGGGCATACTCTCCCCTATAACAACTCTGTTCCTGGAGAGAATGGGCTTAACCTCAAAATAGTTTCTACTAAATAATTTCA